TCTTCTTTTTATCCACCTTTCTTACGACTCAACCCCCTCCCTCCCCTCCCTCCCCCTCCCCTCCCCAGGTCAGGCCGCCCTCCACAAGGCCTCTCTCTACGGCTTCTCCAGTCTCGTGAGAACCTTCATCGACGCCGGCGCCGAGGTCGACCTTCAGGATCGAGTGGGTGAGGGAGGGTTAAGGGGGAGGGTCTGTGTGTGGGGGGGAGGGGTCTGTGTGTGGAGGGGGGGCGTGCGTGTTGGTGCGTAGGTGTGTGTGTGTTGTGTTCGTGTTGTGTGTGTGTGTGTGTGTGTGTGTGTGTGTGTGTGTTGTGTGTTTGTGTGTGTGTGTGTTGTGTGTGTGTGTGTGTGTGTGTGTTGGTGTGTGTGTGTTTGTGTGTGTGTGTTGTGTGTGTGTGTCTGTGTGTGTGTTCGTGTTGGTGTGTGTGTGTCTGTGTCTCCGTGTGTGTGTCTGTGCATCTGTGTGTATATCTGTATGTGTGTATGCGTGCCTACACATACATACACGTATTTGTATGTATGACTATGCATCTTTAAAAAGACACAAAAAGATTGCAAACGAAATAAAAATCTGACTCACCCATTTAAACAAGATGGAAAATTCAATTAATTGGTATATCTGATCATCCTTGATTAACAGTCACTCTTATGATACAGTGTTAATTAATCAAAATATAGTATACGTTTATTTATAAAGATGTTTAAGATCAATAAATAAGTAGGTGAATAAATAAATTAGTATGTAAATGAATTAATAAATGTATATATCAAACAAGTAGCCTGCAATATCAATATAAATAGACCCTTGACCTCCAATATTCATATAAACAGAACGCAGCCCTGCAATATCTATATAAATAGAGCATTATCCTGCACCAATTAGCCTGCAATATCTACAAAAAATAAAGCCTTGACCTCCAATATCTATATGAACAGAGCACTGACCTGCAATATCTATATAAAGAGATATTGTCTGTAATATTATAAATAGAGCATTATCCTGCACCAATTAGCCTGCAATATCTGCTAAAATAGAGCCTTGACCCGCACCAATTAGCCTGCAATATCTATATAAATAGAGCCTTGACCTGCATCACCCTTACAGGTCGAACAGCTCTCATCTGGGCCTGCAGGAGAGGTCAGAATAAGGTCATCAAGGATCTGCTGGAAGCCGGCGCTGACCCGAACATCCGGGACAGGACAGGTCAGGCATTTATTAAGATGAAGTGAAATGAAAAGAAAAGTTTCTTGGGTTTTTGTTCATGATTTGTGCATTGTAATGTTATGCCATATTGTAGCTATGTATAAATAGATAGAGAGAGACAGACAGACAAACAGAGACAGAGACAGGGAGAGAAAGCGAGAGAAGCGAGAGAGAGAGAGAGAGAGAGAGAGAGAGAGAGAGAGAGAGAGAGAGAGAGAGAGAAAGGAGAGAGAAGACAGATAGACAGAGACAGAAACAGAGACAGGAGAAAAAAGCGAGAGAGAGAGAGAGAGAGAGAGAGAGAGAGGAGAGAGAGAGAGAGAGAAGCGAGAGAGAGAGAAAGAGAGAGAGGGGACAGAAAGCGAGAGAGAGAAGGGGGGGGGGAGAGGGGAGACAGATTGTTAGACAGATAAATAGATAGATAGAAAGACAAATAGTTTGAAAGATAGATAGATATATAGATAGATAGACTGACTGACTGATAGATCGATAGACAGACACAAAGAAAGATAGGGTGATAGGCAGATAGACAGAGAGAAAGTTAGTTAGATGGATAGATAGACAAATGGATAAATTATGCACAAAGACACACACACACACACACACACAACACACACACACACACACACACACACACACACACACACAAACACACACACACACACAAACACACACACACACGCACACACACCTACACATACATCATTTCGTATAATATTCAAACCCGAATTCTTAGGCAGAGACGCACTTTCCTGGGCCAAGAGGTACAAGAAAGATGACTCAGCGGAATTGTTGCTCAAATACTGCCCCGATCTCCGCCTTCAGGAGAGCCGAAGTAAGGAAATATTCCCGTATTTGTACAGCCTCTCGTGGTAATGGTTCTTTGTTCATATCGCTGCATGAACTGATTGCGGGTCGGAGGGCTTTTTTGAGGAGTGAATAGAAGGGGTTGATTAAAATCTGTGGGTTATGATGGAAGGCAAAAAAAATGGATTAATTGTTATATGGAATAATGGTGATGATGATAATGATGATAATGCAAAAAAAGATGAATTATTATGTAAAATAATGGTGGTGATGATGATAATGCAAAAAAAATGAATTATTATGTAGAATAATGGTGGATGATTGATGATGATAATGCAAAAAAATATGATTATATAGAATGGTATATGATGATGATATGCAAAAAAAAGATGAATTATTATGTAGAATGGTGGTGATGATGATGATTGCATGATGAGAAAATGATGATGCAAAAAAAGCTAATGCATGATAATGCAAAAAAATGAATATTATGCAGAATAATGGTGGTGAAGATGATGATGATGATAATGATCACAAGCTACAGGTTGAGATAAAATGCATAGAATGATTAGAGAGATAAAATGATAATAATAGTAATGGTGATTATAAAAGAACAAAATCGTTTTACTGAATAAACATTGAAACTGAAGGAATCTTGTATATCACATACAGTTTGTTTTTATCAACTTTCTATAAATAAAAAATACCGTACATCAGACCGCTTCAACTTTCTATAATCAAGCTGATATCATTCTATTTCTGGATACCTGGATTCCTGGATTCCTGGATTCCTGGATTCCTGCCTTTGTGTGAATAGTATTGTTGTCTGCCTAGCTGCCGGTCTGCACGTAATCGTTTCATATTTTTGTTTGTAGCGATAGATATCAGTGTGCTTGCATTGGTAAAGTGGAAGTCCCTCTTTCTCTCTCTCTCTCTATCGTTCTCCCTCCCCGTCTCTCCTTCTATCCCTCTCTCCTTCCCTCCATCTCTCTCTCTCTCTCACTCACTCTTTCCCCTTTCTTCTCCTCCCCCCCCCCCCCTTCTATCCTCTCCCTCCCTCCCGACCCCCCCCCCCTCTCTCTTCGTCTCTCCTCTCTCTCTCCCTCTCTCCCCCCCCTTCTCTCTCTCTCTTCTCTCTCTCTCTCTCTCTCTCTCTCTCTCTCTCTCTCTCTCTCTCTCTCTCTTGTGCTTTTCCCCTCATTCGCTTTATCTTTATACGGGTCCTAAAAATCTGGAGACCTTTTTGCCTGCTTTCATAATCGTAGCCTTAACTATGGCTTTTGCACTTCGTGTTTCTTTCGGCATTATGTAAATTAGAAAGAAAAAAATCCGGTATATAAGTTACAGCGTTTTTTTTTTTTTTTTCTTTCTTTTTTTTCCGTGGAAGAATGTTTATTCATAGCGAGTAGAAATTTTACTTGCATTCGCCTGGCTCGTCGTGGCAGCTCTCTCTTTAACGCCGTGCTTCTCCTCCCTCTTAACCACAGCGTGCGGCTCAAGCAAGGTTCCTCAAGGCCCCACCAACACCTCCTCGACGTCCCCATCCCCCTCGGCGCCTCCGACACCGCAGGACGCCTCGGGCACCCGCTCCACCCCTTCGGCAGCCGTCATCAGGGACTCCGAATACACCCTAAAGATCCATAAGGATACGCCACTATTCCCCACGACGCGGGAGGGGACGACACCCCCGTCGGGAGGTCCACAAGGCATCACGACGGCGTCCGCTTCTCCATCCGGGACGCATTCAGACCCGAAGGATAATCCTCACAGACCGCGAGGTTGTGGGTCTTCCCGGGCCAGTTCGGCGGGGAGGCTCGCGGCGCGGCGCCTTCTGCTTCTGTGCCTGGCTGTGCTGTGGGCTGGGTCGTCGTAGGGTTTTGCTGTCGTGATTCCTGGGAGAATGTTTGAGTGTATGGGTCATTTTCAATCGAGTGTAGTGTTTTTTTTTTCTTTTTTCTTTTTGACTGGGGGCGACATATTGTTTAAAATGTGTGTTACTGAATCTTTTAATCCTAGAGGACATTGATTCTACTCCAAGATAAAAAAAGAAACATATTACTATCACCAAGAGACTTTTACAGGTTTAAATACAAAACTGCGAAGTGTGCCCATCACTGAAAACACCGAGAGGTATTGGTGTCACTGTCAACGAACACACTCTTAAATCAGTGACAGGGTGCAGTGTCATCATCTACCCACACGTCGACAGTCGATTTTTTAATCTTTCTTTTCTTCTATTTTCACATCTCTATAAAGGATATCAAATTCCTGTAACAAAGGCTACACTTCATATGGTCTTAAGTGTCCACAATTCCCTAAGTGTATATTTCGTTCAAATGTTACATTACATTATTGTCACAGGTACAGGAACATTACCAGATGTTTAATATGTACAAGCTATAGACGATGTATCTAGTTTATATGACTTCTTTCAGTATACATCATTTTATTTTCTGAATAACGATTTATGCTATATGTAGAATAAGTTTATAATAAGTTATATATACATTCTCCTGATACTTTTATTCATGTACAGTCCCCTTCGCTTTCAAACTCACCACTCACCGTTGCCAATGTTGCGAACCGCCAGTTTTGACTCGAATTCGAAACGCATAACGCTTCTCGTATCATGTTTCGGACACGAGAGTCGAGACAGGCGGTTTACACGTTGGCAACCCTGAGGGGAAGGGACTGCACAATCGCAATAGCTAGGGTAGTTATTCATCTATAAATAAATAAATAAAATAAATATATATAGGTATATGTACGTATGTGTATGTATGTATATAGTATTTTCCTAGTCTGAATGTATGTACCTCACGACTTATGGTATTTTTATTTTCTTCGTTGCTTCGCTCTTCAAAACTTATCAACGTAATTTGTTATCAGTTGCAGAATATTTTACTTGTTTTCCTTCCAAAAATCTGGAAAAGTTTTTTTTCCTACTGAAAATAACATATGAATAATGAGTTATTGCAAGTCTAATAATTTCGATAGAAAACACAACTCAAGTTTTCTTTAATTCAACTTCTTGATACAGACATTGCATTTTTATTTTTTCTCTCATTTTTTTCTTTTCAATTGTTTTCCTCTTTCTTGAACATCAAGTATTTATCAGACTTTCTACTCTGGTTGTCCTATTTCATTTTATTATATTTCACATATTTTACATATTTACTTGAAAATCTGGTTTAACATCAAAATTCTTCATATATGTATTCATCTATTGGTAAATCAGAACTCTTTATATCTTGATTCCCTATGTTGTACTTATCAATATCAAAGATGAAAGGCAATGTATCCATAGCAACCCAAGTACTCATACATATTTATTGAGTTACAACATACAAATATGTAGCTGCAAAAAACATTGACAGTTGTACATTCTTCGGATATGAATTCTTGAGCATTTTTTGAAAATTTGGTTGTAATACACTTTTGATATACAATATAACATTCTGTACATTTTTTTATTACTTCACAATAACACATCTATAGGGTTACATGAAGTAAGTTGGATTACATTACAATAAACATAGGCCCATGTACACACATTAACTGATTCGTTATAATTATATAATATACTTATACTCTTATGTGAAATAACATTATATTTTCTCTTTATATCTTATACTTTGGGGAAATAAACTTCAACTCAGGAAGACAATCTCACATTTTCTTGCAAACGCCACAAAAAGGATGCAAGCACAGCAATTCAATGCATGGCTATTTTGTGGCGACTATACACTAAATATTTGATATGGTAAGATGATATTTGGTAACCATGTCCACTTCAATCCTCTTCTGACGACGAATCCTCATCATCCTTATAATCCAATCCTCACTTTGCTTTCTTGGAATCCTTTCGCTTATAAAATCCTTACAATCCTTTCTGAAACTTCGAAAGAATGAAAATTCTAAAGATAACTTGGAGGATTCTGTAACATGCACTACTCTCCTCCTAAAGGAAGTCCGTTTAAAGGTTTCCACTCATGCTAGCCAAGGTAGAAAAATAAAAACAAAATAAAATAAGAACACCTCTATAATGAGCATCATCATGAAAAAATATCCTTTGATTATCTACAGGAATGTCCCGACACGGGTCCACCGCCCTGGATTCACCCCTTGGCAACGGCTTGGGGTCCACGAGATGCGTTCTTCGGACAACTATTCTGAGACTCTTGGCGCTCCTTGCCATCGTTTCTTAGCCCAGACTATCCACTGTTAAGACTCACAACACGCACTGTATATCGCGGAAAGGACTCGGGTGGTTCAGGCTGTTGAGTCAGCTAAATCACTGATCTGAAACTGTCGACGAACATCCACGCTCCAGTTCCGTTGAGACTGAATGGAATTTTGAGGTTCGACGCTCGTCTGACACTCACGTTCTGCTTCGAGACACAAGGAGTCGTTTGGAAGATTCCGGAGCAGATGCAATTCGCACACTTGTCATATTTTTATCCGCACAGTTACTTCGAAGTTGCTAAGATCGAACCATTTGATGCATGTGTTTTTTTTTTTCTCCCTTTCTCTCCTACCATCGTATGTTCGATATGATCACATGATATTTTGCGTAATCAGAAACAAATAAATGGCAGTTCTAAGACACGGCAACACACACTATAAATGCTTTCTGGGGGGATGTTCGTTAATTATACAGCGAAGTAGACATGTAGTCGGAATCAACGTTCCAAGAGCCGCCCTGCGATATGAAACTCAGGGTCCTTTCGAACTGCTCCTCGAGGCTGTCCTGCGAGACGGAGGAGCGGCTCGGCTGCCTCACCTTCGGCAGCCCGACGCCCGAGCTCTCCATCATGGACGAGGCGCCGGAGGTGGAGGCAGACATGTCGACCTGGGAGCAGAGCAAGGCGTCCGAGCCCTTCCTCTCCTTGCCCTCCTCGCCCGGCTTGCGGAAGGTCTTGCTCAGGTTCTCCTTGCAGTCGGAGCGAGGGAACCCGCCGATTCGCTGGACGTCCTCGCACGACGAGAGGTTCTCTTTAGTCTCCCCTACGCTCATCTTCTCGCGTTTTCTGTCGTGGTTCCGGGGGATGAAGAAGGACGCTTCGGTGTCGCTGCAGGACTGCGTGTCGTCCTCGCCCTCGTCGGAGAAGTTGTAGCAGTCCATGGACAGGTCCGTCGTGGATTCCGTGTTGAGTCTCAGCTGGCGGACGTCCTCCCGCGAGGCCGGCCGCGTCTCGGAGTCGTCGACCGGGGAGGCTGCGTCGTAGGCCGTGACTGCCTCGTAGGTGTCGGTCTCCGCGGCGCTGTACTGGTAGTCCTGAAGCCGAAAGGGAAATGGAGAAAAGATATTTAGCCACGCTTAATCTGTGCCTGATTTCCCTCCGCGGGAACTATATCAAAATTATTGTGATAGTTTGATTATTTTGTCGCATTTTGATATATATATCACCTATTTCTTATATTCTGGTCATGGATATATATACATACATACATATATATATATAATATATATTAATATATATATATATATATATATTGAAATAATGATAATGATAATAATCAGGAAAGCATGCAGTTACACATTATTTAACTTCATGCAATGACATATTGTTTAATGTAGATACAAAAGTTGCATATAACCTTGATTTCAGATAAAGCATCATCATGCTCTGAAGGTCTCAAAGGTAGTTAGTCCTAAAACACGATCGCAGACGGTCATAAGGTTGCCATGTAATGATATAAGAACCTTGTCGCGAATTTAACATGGCTAGATGTCTTGTGGATAACAAATATTCATAAAAAAAATGCTATATATTGGAAATCAATAATTTTTAACGGATCTACGAAGCTGTTACACGCTGTTCACAACCTCCGAAAACATCCTTTTGAACGTTCAAGCTTTCCACCCACCCAGCCAGCCAGCCCGAACAAACCTGCGTCATGGGCGTGAGGGCGGGCGGGCGGTCGAAGTTGGCGCGGACGGTGGAGCAGCCCGAGGGCGTGGCGGAGGCGCAGAGCGAGTCGCGGGGAATGATCAGCTTTATGTCGTCCTGGCAGCAGCTGCAGCACTCGCCCGTGTACCAGCTGTTGGCCTCGGTGCCTCGGCAGGTGGTGGAGGAGAGGTGGGCGTGGTTGGTGGGCGGGGCCACGGAGGGGATGGTGTAGCTGCGGCCGCTGGGATGGCGTGAGGGGCCGTGGCGCGACGGAGGCCGCGGCGGAGGCACCTGGCACGACACCGACTCGGACTGCGGAGAGCGGCGGCGGGGTCAGGCGGGCTAAGGGGGGCGTCGGGTCAGTCGGGATTAAGGGGGGGCGTCGGGGTTAGTCGGGGTCATTCAGGAATAAGGGGGACGTCGGGGTCATTCGGGTAAGGGGGGCGTCGGGGTCATTCAGGAATAAGGGGGCGTCGGGCTAAGGGGGGCGTTGGGGTCGGTCGGCTAAGGGGGCGTCGGGTCATTCGGGCTAGGGGGTCGGGGTCAGGCGGGAAAGGGGCGGTGCTCTTTGGGTCCAATCATTATTTGCTAAGTCACCACTGAAGAACCACCCTTTAGCACTGGTTGTTCATTTATGCGAAAGCTTGTAAATCTTTTGAAAATAGGGATATATCAACCGATATTTTACGGAAGCTTTAAAAATATTTGTCATGAACTTTAATGGGGGGCTTTAATGACCATGAAATCATTGAAATATATCTGGCCATCTTCTAACATCTTATCGAACACAAAATCAAAGATTCTTGTTCTTCCTTGAGTATTTTTGACATCTTAAACCACTTTCTTTAAGATATACCCAAAAAAGATAAGATACCTGCTGCAGTATAAGGATTCTGTTAGTTTCTGATATCTGAAATATTTTAACTTCCAATGAATGATGAAATGTAACACGCGTCTGACAATATGCAAATTATGTTATTTTTTTACGAATACATTACTGAACAAGAGAGAAGTTAGTATTTTCAAGAATCCATTCGAGAGACAAAGGTTAGTAATTTAAATAATCCATTCGAGTACAAGACATTCAAGTTGTTAAGTCTCAGGTTAGTAATTTAAATAATGTATTCCATTACAAGACATTCAAGTTGTTAAGTCTCAGGTTAGTAATTTAAATAATCCATTCCATTACCAAGTTATTAAGTCTCAGGTTAGTAATTTCAATAATGTACTCCATTACAAGACATCCAAGTAGTTAATTTCCATGTACACATCCCAGTACAAGACCATACAAGCTGTAAATTAACATCACTTACGAACGCGTCAATTACAGCACAATACGTTCATTTACGACCACATCCCCCATAACAGCACAATACGTTCAGCTCACCTGCGTGTGCTTGTTGCGCTGGGAGACACTCGAGGTCCTGGAGGGCGAGGGCGAGGGGCAGAGAAGCCCTTGTGTCCACGGCTCTGGAATGCGAGGATCAGGTGTCAGCGCAGTGGGTCGAGTTCGCAGGAAAAAAGGATTCCTGAGGGTGATTTACGCGTGGTGGCGGAGGGGGAGGAAGGGGAGGGAAGGGAGGGAGGGAGGGTAGAGAAGGAGGAGGGACGGAAGGAAGGAGAGAGGAAGGAACGGAGGGTAGTGGAGAGGGGTGAGGGCGGGAGGGAGGGAGGGAGGGAAAGTAAGTAGGGAGAGAGGGAGAGAGGATAGCGGAGAAGGGTGGGAGGGAAGAAGGGAGGGTAGGTAAGGAAAGGAGAGAGGAAGGGAGGGTAGGTAGCGGAGAGGGAGGGTAGAGAAGGAAGGACGGAAGGAAAGGGAGAGGGAGGAAGGGAGGATAGTGGAGAGGGAGGAGGGGGGAAAGTAAGAAAGTAAGTAGGAGAGAGGATAGCGGAGAAGGGTGGGAGGGTAGGGGAAGGAAAGGAAGGGAGGGTAGGTAAGGAAAGGAGAGAGGAGGGAGGGTAGGGTAGCGGAGAGGGGAGGGTAGAGAAGGAGGGGCGGAAGGAAGGGGAGAGGGAGGAAGGGAGGGTCGTGGAGAGGGGAGTGAGGGCGGGAGGGAAGGTAAGTATGGAGAGAGGAGAGAGGATAGCAGAGAAG